CATCAACTACTCACAATCATCAAGCTTCAGCTTGAAGATCTAGAAGCTCATTCTCTAACAGAACAGTCCATTCTTCTTCATATTCTGGCCAAAAAAACTGGTATGAACTTCTTCCTATAATAGGCTCAAATAAGCCTCCCATGATTTTTTGCCCATTGTTCCTAGTTCTGCTGCCTTGAATCTCACAGATTAAAGCTAATCCTTCTTCGTAGTGTGGTGGTTGGATTTATGTGTCAACCTGATTTGGTGACAGGGTGCCTGGTTATTTGGTCAAATGTTATCCTGAGTGTGTCTATGAGAGAGTTTCTAGATGTGATTCATATCTGAAAGAACAAGTAGATGAAGTAGAGTAGATCATCCTCCCCAATATAGGTATCCCTCACTTAATCAATTGAACATATTAATAGGACAAAAAGGACAAGCAAGAAAAGGGACATCTCAGAGCCTAACTGCTTGAGCTTGCACATAAGTCTTATCTTGACTTCACACTAGAATTGAAAAATCTGCTCTTCCTATATACTAAACCTAATGGCTTTTAGACTAGAAATTATTACACACATACACGCACGCGCACGCACGCGCACGCACTCACATATAACATTATATTATACATCATATTGTATATACCACACAACTGGTTCTGTTCCTCTAGAGAATCCCTTTAGTACAACATGATATCCCTCAGGTAGAAATTTATATAAAATCTTATATAAGAATTAGTGGTATCCTGGATATATATCATCTCCTTTTTCCTTCCTGAAATCTTTGGTGTTAGCAATATTTCTTTGGATTAAGGGATTATATTTCCATGAAGTTTTGGTTAATGAATAACAGGAAAATAAAATATTAATTACAGTATTATTTTGAATGTACTATCAGAGCTTTGAGACAATAAAATAAAACAATATCCTGATTTGAAGAGTAGAAATTTTGATGAAGAATTCAACAGAGTAAATTAGGCTCTGATTCTGTTAGTCATATTTTCATCACTGTGGGAAAAACACCTGAAAAGAACAACTCAGAGGAGGTGAAATTTATTTGTGTTCATGGTTTCAGAGGTTTGGTCCATGTTCCGCTAACTCCATTGCTCTGAGCCTAACTAAGGTGAGGCAGCACATCATGGGGGAAGGGTGTAGCAGAGAGAAGCTGCTCAGGACATAGCAGCCAGGAAGCAAAGAGAGGAAGAGGAGTAGGCCTCAGGGAAGCAGAATCCTCCCAGGACATTGGCCCATTGACTAACCTCCTCCAGTCATGCCCCACCTGCCTACAGTTACCAACCTCTGAATACATTTAAACTAGGATGGACTGATTATGTTACAGCTCTCATAATCTCATAATTTCAACTCTGAATATTCCTGTGTTAAGGAGCTTTTGGAAGACACCTCACATCTCAACATAACTGTCTTATAATTGTTGCTTCTGGAAATTCTGGTGGCCTGAGATGCTTGAGATGGGGAAGGATACAAAAAGACAGAGGAAAGACTCCTGGCCATCAGTTGTTGTTGTTGTTGTTTTGTTCTTCCTCATTCTGAATAAGAATGACAAGAAATTTCCATTGTTGATTTTAACTGGTACCAAGCTTATATATACTTCTAAAACAAATTAACAAACTTAATATTTTTGTATTCATGTTTTATAAATGAACTACTTTATTTGGTCACTTTCTTTTTTTTTTAAAGAGGAGGGGAGAGAGAGAGAATTTTTTAAATATTTATTTCTTTTTTAATTCTTGGCAGACACAACATCTTTGTTTGTATGTGGTGCTGAGGATCGAATCCAGGCCGCACGCATGCCAGGCGAGCACGCTACCGCTTGAGCCACATCCCCAGCCCTATTTGGTCACTTTCTATGTTGTAAATCTAGCTATTACGAGTAAAATCAAAAGCCAAGTTTGTTGGATTATGTTTGTAATCCCAAATAATTGAAAGAGAATCACAAGTTCAAGACGAGCCTGGGCAACTTAGCAAGACCCTGTCTCAAAATTAAAAAAAAAAAAAAAAAGAATCAGAAAATACAGGTCAGTGGTAGAGGAGTGCCCCTGAGTTCAATCTCCAGTACCACACCCACACCCACACACACACACAAAAAAAAAGGAATAAAAGAATCAACAGAGTACTTCCTGCTTTACTAAAACATGCAAAGCATTCTTGTGTATTATCAAGAACAGTTATTTACTACTAAAAATTAATATCTTCTCTAGAAGATTACTTTCATCTATTTTAATGTTGTCCACTTCTCTTTATGTATTACTCAACAACGAATGAGTTAATCAAAAGGACTTAGGAAAGGTACTAAGCCATTTGAAGATTTAGACATCCTAACTGGATTCATTTACTTAATTTACACCACTCTGTGTTTGATGTTGCCAATTTCTCTTTGGCTACGTACAAATAAGATTTCTACCTTAACCTTATACATAAACTCTCTGAAGAACATGTGTATCACTTCTGGTCCTAAATTATTTTTTAACAATCTTCTATTATATCAAATTATTATTTAAACCTTCTAATTTCATCACCTTACAAAATTTAGAACACTGATATAAATTTCAAAGGAAACGAATTGAAGTCCAGAAATAAAAGGAAGGCTAGATGAACTTGAGGAAGTCATAACATCTTATTGTTTTCTTTTGCTGTCAAAAGAAGTTTTAAAGAAAATGGTATCTTAAACACTTTCAACTAAACTATTCTACAATTAAAATGGACTCTTTCAATACTAGTCAGGCGTAGCTCCTGTTTTAGCAGTATTCATTTTTTAAGTCTTTAATGAATTTTAAAAAGGGTATGCAATTTCAATTACTTATAAGAATGCCCAAGTTATCTCTAGCTAATATTAACTTTGCAATCTCTGGCTTATAAAGTAGTGGGAAATATCAGAAGATATGGGGTAAAGATAAGAAAAACATCTTCCCTTCAGTATGCAATGTTTGTCTTCTAAAACTTGGCAGTGTCAGTGACCCACCTTCATAAAACCTTAGGAGAAAGCAGAACAGCTTTCTCCATGCTAATTCCCATTAGGGTGGGCTTGCATCCTAGATTGAATGGAACATTAGCTTTTTGTGTGAATTGTGAACTAAATTATGTGATCAACTGATGGAGAGAACAACTTCCAGGATTAATAGCACACACACACACACAGTATGAAGACTTTGCTTTATATTTGCAGCACCAGAAACTCTCTAGAGAAGGATCTTGGAAAGTATGTGATGGTTTCTCTTCTCTGACAGCTCTGACAGATGTCAGTCCTGTGGGAACTTTACACAAGGGCTTTCATTTGAGATGAGTACATGTAAAAACAGAAAGAGGCACCATGAACTGAGAAAAAAAGGATATTTTGGCTTGGGTTTCTCACAGTGAATGAAACTTCTTTCTCCTTTTCTCATTTGGTTCGTAACATTTTGCAAATAAATTTCTACATATTATTTATTCATTAAACAATCATTTTTAGGGTAGCTACTGAGACCATGTTAGTGCAGAGATGCAAAGATGAATGTTCCAAACATTGCCTTTAAAGAGATGATCTAATTGAAGAGATAGACATAAAAATCAGTATGACACAAATGCAATGATTTAAATGTTTATTTATTACTAAATGCAGTAATAATATAGACTTATTGAAGCTGCAGTGTTTACTCATGCAAAGGCATGTAGGACTAGAAAAGGATTGCCCTTTAGGGCAATTGCAGAAGGTGATTTGGGTTTTAAGGCTTGAGGAAAATCTGGGAAAGTATGTTGGAGAGGGAGGCAGGTATTAGAGTGGCTATAAATGATTTTAAGAAAATTTATGACATACATTTTTACTGTATGTGAAGAGCAGACACTGAATATCAAGTAAGCCTTTTTTATTCTCCAAAATTGTTGGTGACATTTTTATCAACTTTATGGTGATGTTACAAGGAATTTATCTATATTCAAAGTTATATAGATTGTATATACAAGTTGTACAAAAAAAGAAAAACAGAACAAACAAACTAATATACCCAAACCCCTAACACCAATTTTACCCATTATTTTTCTCATATTATATAGCAGGAGCATCATGAACGTAGTGCTATTTCCTCTGTTGGTCTTAGTTTCAAAGCATCTGATATAGTTTATTTCTCCTTATTAATTGAGATTGTGAAAATGCCCATCTTTATTAGATTTATTCTATCTGCTTAAACACAAAGTTTTTAAAACACAGTATTTTTACACAGTTTAAAATGAAAGTCGACTACCTGACCTGATGCTTGACCAAAATAAAAATGCCCTATTTTAGTGCTAGAGAAAAAGTGACCTGCATTGAACCACTAGAGGGATGCTAACTTGATCACCAATGTGTATCTTCTTAAGAGATTGAGGCTAAACCTGATTTTGTACAAATTTCATCTTTGAATTTGACATTGGATCCTAAGTGAGGTAAAAGATGTAACCCTTTGATGTTGTGTTTATGTGTTTAAAAACACATTCCTGTAAATAAAATTATAGTTTTGAGAAAAGACACAAATGAGTTAATGATGCAAGAATTCTATTGATAGAAAGACTGCTTTAACATTACTGAATATTTGTAATCCTTGAAAATACCACTTTGTCATTATTATTATTATTATCATTATCATCAGACATGAATTTTCAAAATGAAAACAATAGGATAATAACAAAACTTGGAGAAGATAGAGCCTTCTCTGAGCATATAGGGATATATGAACTTGGTGGTCTGTCTGTCATGCCCTCCTGACTGAAGTTTGATATATGCTTTCATCCAAATTCCTCATCAGCTCAGGAAATGTATTCAATTTTCTTAGGAAAGACTTCATAGTTTATCCAAGCACATGACATTCTGTGATATTCTGTTGGAGAAAATTTCCAAGTTTTTGTGTTTTAGAGTTGATGGGATGGTTTTGATAAATATTTTCAAGATTTTTATAGTGATACATTCCTGTAGAAAAGGCTGTCAAGGCTGGGAAAACCAGTCGCATATCAAGCATACTGACATTACCGAATCATCTCTTTCTTCACCCAGATAAACACTTGATGAATAGTTGGCTCTCTACTGATTCAGTTTTTCATGTAGAAGACAGTCTGGGTGTGGTGCAGTCATGGTAAGGAGTCTGAAGAATGGAACTTGGTAAGGAAATTTATTGGGATCTGTGAACAGATCAGATCTAAATTGGAAATGGTTAGCCAGCCCTCTGGCCAAGAATGTGAGCTTCTCTACAGCAGGAATGTTGGCTCTGACTCCATTGTGGCTCATCTGGGCTGTAGCTTCTCACACTATGTGTGAAACACCACTGATGTGAGGGAAAAAAATCATATATATTGATATTTGAGTCTGCGCTCTACCGAGTACTATTTAACAATAGATATTTGACATAACATGCTCTATTCACACAAAACATTTCATATGAAGGATGTCTAAACTGAAGACTTCTTTTAAATAAAAATATAATGTGGACTTTTTTGTTTTTTCCAGCATAGTGGGACAAAAATGCCACATGACTTACAATGAAGGAATGAATTAGGAAAGGTGTGCACGATTGAGAGTTCCTGCAATAAATAAACAAGTGAAAGACCATGGAGAAAATCTGTTTCCATTTCCTTCATGACTGGTCCTTTCTGCTACCTAAATGTAAATAAGAAGGGAGGTTGATCTTGGTTCAAGTTTAAAAGGGGAACAGAATTTGAACTTAGACAAAGATTAATTCTTTAGGCATGGGAACCAGTAGGATGAAAAACAAGACTTGCTAATTATGCATTTTAAGTTAACAGGATGATGTGGCCTGAACAGAAGGGTTTTGCTGATGATGAGGGAAAATTACGTTGGGCACAGAAATAGAAGGCCAAAATGCCAAGCTCAATAATTCATAAATAAATAAAAGTTTTAAACAACCATAAATATTTTGCGAATATATAAAAACAATAAAATAATAATAGTAAGGAAATATTATAATTCATAAAAATGACACATTTGATTAAATCCAAATTTAAGAGTTCTGTATGATGAGAATTCAGAAATAAAGGATGGTATAGCACTTTGAAAGGCAGTTTAGAAGCTTATAAAACTAAACATAATTTTACTCAAAACCTAGTGCTTAAATTCCTTTGCATTTACCCAAATGGGTTGAAAAGTGATAGTCGACCCAAGAGCTGGCACACAAAATTTATATTAGCTTTGTTGATAACTGACAAAACTAGACAGCAACCAAGATGTCTTTCAGTGCCTGAATGGATAAGCAAACTGTGGTATATCTATACAATAAAATATTCAGCAACAAAAAGAAACAAGATTTCAATGCACAAGAAGATAAGGAGAAACCTTAAATGCTTATGACTCGGTGAAAAAAGTCAATCCAAGAGGCTGTGTGATTCCAATGAAAAGACATTCCAGAAAGCAAAATTATGAAAACAGTGAAAAGATAAATAATTACTAGAATTTTAAAGGAGGTAGGGAGGGACAAATAGGAACACAAAGAATTTCAGGGCATTAGAAGTATTCTATATTATAGATAGATATCATTCTGTAATTATATATACATATCATTATAAATTTCTCAGACAACACAACAAAAGAATGACCCCTAAGGTAAACTACGGACTTTATTTAATAATTGTGTATTGATATCAGTTCATCAAGCATAAAAAATGTACCATAGTAATGCCATATATTGGCAATAAAGGAAGCTGTGTGGAAAAAATAAAAGGGGACTATGAGAACTCTCTGTACTTTCCATTCATTTTTATGTAAGACTAAAACTACCCTTAAAAAAAGAAATCTACTGTTTGCAAAATATAATTAAAAAATAGAAAAAAAAACATGTTGGTAACATATACAGCAAGAGATTTTATATCTGAAATATATAAAAAAACTTCTCTTATCAATAAGAAAGATATAATGAAGTATAAAAATGGACAAATGAAATAAACCAGGCAATATCCATAAAGACAAACTTAAAAGACAAGTTACACAATATTTTAAATTTTGCTATTCAACATTCAACAAAATGTTTCTTGAGTATGAAACAGACACTGTTCTGGGTATTTGGGATACATCTATGCTCTAAATACAGACGCTTTAATGTGTAGAGAGGTAAAATTTTTGAAATTATGATATTTCTTTTGCATTCATCATATGGGCAAAAATTAAATATCTGATTTTTGCAATTTTTGGCAAATATTTAGAAAAAATGAAAATATCATGCCTTGATGATGGAAGTAAAAACTAATTTAATAAAAAGGTAGAAAAATCTTGATAGAATTTTATAGTATTAAGTGTACATATACTATTACCAAAAATTCTACTGTCAGTGTACAGCCTAAAAAGGTTCTTGCACGTATACTGAAAGAAACAAGAATGTTTATCAAAACACTGTGTGATATTTTTTAATTGGAAATAATCAGAGTTCATAAATATGAAGTCTATACAAAGGAAAGACTATTAAAATCAGGTAAAAGAAATTTAACATCCCATTGTAACAATTTGGCTAGATCTTAAACCACAAATTTGAGGAAGAAAATAAAATTGGCAAAATATGGATCATGTGATATGTTAATAAAAATCACATAAACATTGTGCATTGTTCATATATATTTGTATACAATATTTTAAAATAGATTAGAACAATTTCCACTGAAGGTATAATATTTGTTGTCTGTGGGAAGTTTAGAGTGTAAGGGGAATAAAAACAACTTCAATTTTATCTCTAATATGTCATTTATTTCATAAAAGTTTGATAAATTTAATATGGCAAAATTTAATAAACATCAGTTTGAATGGATACAACCTATTACTTTTTACTTACAGAAATATTTTTAAATACACAATTATGAGAATTATAAGTGAATTCATTACAACTGTGTCCCAAGATAAGCAAATGTTTTTATATTAAGTAGCAAAAAGCCCTAACATGGCCATTTTAAATCTTTTTTATGGAATAAGAATATAGACATTAAATTGGTAAATGCTCCCAGCAACACAATAACAATCTTGGCAAACTTTTGTACCAAAGTAATTGAAGGAAAAAATTACAATCTGTGAACTGCTTAAAGCAGTCAACGTAGAAATAAAGCAAACTTATTTTCCAAAAAGTAATCTTAATATCTGCTTAGACTTCCCTGTAGTATATTTATTGGTACAGAGAGTGAACAAAATATATTACCAGAAGCCTCTGTCCACTGTTATGCTAGATTTTTGTTGTTGTTGTTGTAGTTGTTGTATGGACAAGTATAGGCTCTCTTTTGTTCTTCAGGCATCAGACCATTTTGGTCCACAGTTCATGTCTTGGGAGGGGACATAGACTGAGAAGAATGGACAAGAGAGACTAAATTGCATTCTGAGTTGTGGAGTCCTCACAAGTAAAACCTTGTTCCAGATGTTTTCAGAGTTCACGTGAATCAACTGGGAACTTGTTCATCATGAAGGTTTTCAAGACTTTACCTCCTCACACTAAAGACTGAGATGCAGGGAGTTTGGGATTAGAACCAAGGCTTTGTATTCTGATATTGTTTTGTCTATGACTAAACTTTGAAAATCACATTGTTATCTAGGCACTAGTGAAAAGAGACCTTATAACAATATAAACTAGGAATTCAAGGATTTTTTTTTCTTTTAAAGTAGTCTATACACTATACATTGAGAAAAGTTCCAAATCATACAAACGAAAATGAAAGACGTTAGTCCTGGGACAATGATTCATACTTATCACCCATCTCTAACCATAGATCTGAGAAGAAAGTTCAACCAATACCCATGCAGAGAAAATGTGGAGCCAAAGGCAATTTGTTTACCCAATCTATAGACAAAACACAAGGTCTGGATGTATTTTTTTCTGGTTTATAAGAAATAAACAGAAAGATAACAACAAAGTATTCACAGAATAACTATAACACAAGTGAAAGGACAGATTTACTTTTTATATACACACACATATATATCTTCTATTATATATTATATATATTATTTCATAATATCGTATCCATATATATTATAGATACAGATCTCCTATATCAGAATATTAAAGTAATTGACCAAATTTTTGAAAAGTTCTGCTGTAATATATGTTGAAGTCCAACCTATTCCAGTTGGTTTATGTGTTGGTAGATTAATTCTATAGCCAAGGAGGAAAACGCTCTCTTGTAATGATTTCTTTTCTCTTTGGATCCCACTCCCTTGCCAGATTCAAGTATTGTGTATACTACCAAATAATTTATCTCAGAGTGGAACTGGAATCACTCATTATTTTTATAATAATGGAATTCAATATTTATGCTATTATAATTCAGCACTTACAAAAAGTATCTAAACTATTTGCATGAGGTATTCTGCCAGTAGAAACATTCCTTACCTAACTGTAAAATATACAGCCAACAGTACAATATCATGCCAACTTTATTGCCAAGTAACTTGAGAAAGTAGACTTTGTGTGGTTAAAACTCATGGTAAATGGCCTGAGTAATTCTGCTTAATTAAAAGAGAACAATAAGCTACTCAGGGATAAATATTGGCTATCACCAGACATAGATTTATTATCTCTATCTAGGATCTTGAATTATCATTTATTAACTTCTTAAATATATTTACTTGGTTAATTTACAAATAAAAGTAATATATTTTTTGGTGTATAACATGGTGGTTAATGTATGTATATATTGTTATATAGTTAAGTTAAATGACTTAACATGTGCATTACTTCATTTATTTAGTAATGATACTTCACTGATATCTGTCTTCCTAATCCTCCCATCCCCTAGTTCTGGTAACTATTATTTTACTGTTGCACACTCCTTGTAAGTGAAATCATGCAGTATTTGTATCTGGCTAATTTCATTTAACATATCCTCTAGTTCTCTCTCTTTCTCTATAAATGATAGAATTTTATTTTTACTTTGTTAGTGATTTTTTTTTTACAGTTTTTGCCTTAGAGTCTATTTTATGGCATACAAGTTTAGCTACTCCTGCTTGCTTTTGGTTTTCATTTGTGTGGAATATCTTCTTCTATTTTTTACAATCAGCTTGTGTGTGTGTCTTATTGGTGAAGTGAGTTTCTTGTAGGCAGCATATTGTTGGATCTTATTTTTAATTCATTCCTCCAGTCTGTATCTTTTAATTAGAGAATTAAGCCCACTTAAATTCAAGGTTATTAGTGACAGATGAGAATTACTTGTCACACTTATTTTCTTCTCTTTGTTTCAAATATCCTTTGTTTTATACTTCTTTTGTTCATCTTTGTATTTTACTGGTTTATTGTAATGATAAATAATGATAAAATTTTATTCTTTCATATTTCTCTTTTATGTGTTGGCTCTTTCTAACAGATTTTGTTTTTTCACGTTTTCATGCTAACAGTAACTTTCTTTCACTTCTAAAAGTAGGATTCTTTTAAACAACATTTGTAAGGATACGCTACTGACCATAACTTCCCTCAGTTTTTAACTTGTCTTAAAATGTTTTTATTTCATCTTCCTTTCTGAAGGATAGTTTTGCAATGTATAGTATTCTTAATTGAGGGTGATTTTATTTACTTCTATGACATAGAATATATGCTATTTAAATCCCTGATGGCCTGCTAGGTTTCTGGTGA